GAGCTGCACCCGCTCGGTGTATTCCTGGGACATCGTCGTGCAGAGAGTTGGCTCCAAGCTCTTCTTTGACAAGAGGGACAACTCTGACTTCGGTGAGCAACCTGTCTAAGGACTCGCTCGGACCTCTGGGCGGGTCTGTCCGCTCCCCGCTCCCAGCCTGGACAGCAGTGTCTGCTGCCTCCTCCCTGACGTAGAGAGGAGCAGTGTGCCTGCCCCTCAGTGTCTCCTCCCGACCTGGGCTTCCTGAATCCTCACCGCTCCCTGCTACTCTGCTCCGGCCGTACTTCCCGGATTTACACCAGAGCATGAAGCGCATGCGAGTATGTTTCCCTTAGAAGTACTGGGGGTTGTGGGGAGACGAATGAAAGTTGTAGATATTGGAGGCAGGACACAGGCAGCAGAAGTGCTGGAGCACGGGGAGCCGGGGTTTAGATGAGAGCCCTGGTGGCCCCGAGGTGAGGCACTGACTGCAGCTGAAGCCGCGTGAACGCCCAGTCACTCCTCGGGGGGAGCTGTGCCGTCTGTTTCCAAGGCCATGGACAGCAGGCGGGGGTGCCTGTCATGCAGGTTCTCCTCTGTCCTATACGCCCCGTCATGGCTTGGAACCGAGTGGGCGCAGTGGGTTGTCCCCGTTGGTGCTCACGTACGCCATGAAAGAGCCAGCTTGCCCAGAAAAGGAGCAGCCAGGGAAACCAAACCATTGCATGCCAAGCCTGCGGCCTTCTCGGGGGTCCTGAGGCTTTCTCCGTGGTAGAAAGGGCTGGGCAAACAATTGCCTTTAAAAGATGGAACAGAAGCAAACATTTTTCCTGTTTTTTCGGGAACTAGAAAAATTACAAAAGGAATCTTTCATCTTGACGCTGATTGGTGGCTCAGGTTATCCAGGAATACCTCAACCAGTGGGAGCCCTGTGACACAGGGTTGGGAATTTGGCCGTGCCAACCCCAGACACGTCAGCATCAGCGTTCAGTAACCTGACTGCGTAGGTGACCTTGCCACCACTTTCACAGACCTCCTGACAGTGAGCGAGACGGCCAACGAGCCCCCTCAGGATGAAGGCAACTCCTTCAACTCGCCCCGCAACCTGGCGATGGAGGCCACCTACATCAACCACAATTTCTCCCAGCAGTGCTTGAGGATGGTGAGCGGACCGCAGAGCCCACACTGACTTTGATTTGGGTGGCCACCTTCTGTCAAGCTCTGGGGTCCTGGGACTGAGGTGGACACGTGGTCCAGGCTGGGACTTGGACATCACACCCTCTGGCTTTGAACCACAGATGACTTTGACTCTGGGCGGGTTTCTGTCTGTGACACTAGAATGGGAATAACGACTGTTTCCGACCTGGAATCAGGCGCCCCCTCTGACACAAAACAAGGTTTTAGGTGCTGGGGCTACAGCCGTGAACAAAACAAAAGTTCCTGCTCTGGTGACATGTCGTTACAGTAGAGGGGGCAGGTAAAGGTGTGACCTGTGCTGGGAACATAGACAGGAAGGGACCTTCAGTAAGTCCTGGCTGTCGGGTCTGTTGTGAGCCTCAGTACTCACTGGGGGAATGGCTAGAGCAGCAGTTCTCAACCTTCATCATGCAGCGGCCCTTTAACACAGGTCCTCATGTGGTGGTGACCCCCCAACCATAACATTAGTTTCGTTGCTACTTCATCACTGTCATTTTGCTGCTGTTATGAATCGGGTAACCCCTGTGAAAGGGTCGTTCAACTCCCAAAGGGGTCGAGACCCACATTTGAGAACCACTGGGCTAGCAAGTGGCTCCTCTTGGCTCATTGACCCTGGTGACAAGGTGAGGAGGGTCTGGGACACCTGGTGTTTCTTTCAGGGGAAGGAACGATACAACTTCCCCAACCCAAACCCGTTCGTGGAGGACGACATGGACAAGAATGAGATCGCCTCTGTGGCATACCGGTACGTCCCCTCCGGCGGGGGCTGGTAGCCAGGCGGGGGTGGCACATCTGAGACGCAGGATCTCTAGACCAGTGACGCTCTCTCCTTTGTAGCTACCGCCGGTGGAAGCTCGGCGATGACATCGACCTCATTGTCCGCTGTGAGCACGACGGCGTCATGACCGGCGCCAACGGGGAAGTGTCTTTCCTCAACATCAAGACCCTCAACGAGTGGGACTCCAGGGTGAGCCAGCCAACGCCCCTGTCTCCTGAACACACCTGGTCTCCTCTGTCCCCTGCTGCTGTGCTGCTTACAGAGCTGTCTGGATTTCCCACCCCAATCTGAATTTTTTCTCCAGCCAGTTGACAGAGAGAGAGAGAGATGAGTGTAAAACACCAATAAGATCTTAAGAATTTTTCTTACTTTGCACAGAAAGAGAGAGAGAGAGAGAGTGTGTGTGTGTGTAAAACACCAACGAGATCTTTAGAATTTTTCTTATTTTGCACATAGGAGTCATAATGATCGTCTTCCAGAACTTTCTCCTTGGTCCTTTCTGCCCTCCGGCTGGCTTCTGCTCTCAGCAGCCTCTGTCTTTGCTCTCCGGTTGCCTGGGCTGGCAGGGTGGCACCCCTCCCTTCCCTGTCGCTTGTCCTCTGCTTGACTGTGGCCTCTGCCTTCTCCATCCCACCTCCGATCCCCTCTGCACTTCCCGAGCTCCGAGAGCTGGCTCCCAGGAGGCCCTGAATGAGAGGTGCTTCCCCACCCTACCCCTCACGCTGGTGCCCCCAGGAAGGAGGGTCAGGCTGTGACTTCCTGGGGCTGCCTGGTGTCTGGGTTCAGTGTCAAGTGATGGCAAAGCTTCCAGAAGCAGCCTCTGAAGAGATGGGGGTGGGGGTGCAGGTGGCAGCCCCTCTCCTTGTTCCATGCTCCTGCTCAAGCTGCTGAAAGCACACACTGATGTGCGGTTGTGCCCAGGGCTCTGGGCCCGGCAGCACCAGCAGTGCTGGTCGGTGTGGCTCTGCCTCCGTGTTAACGAGACTCGAGCTTCCCACGTCTGCCCTCTCCTTCACCTTCTCTCTGCTGTATCCTGCATTCGTTCCCTTATACTCTGTAACAACAGCGAGTGGCTCACAATCACATCTGTACCCTAGCTCAAAGCTCATCAAACTGTGAGTCACGAACCCCTCAGGGGGTCAAGTACCTGAATGTGGGGGTTGCAAAAAATTTGGCAGCAGCAAGCTAAAATTTAATATAAAATGAGAATCCCTAGTGTTTCTAGCAGAGCTTGCTGGGATTTCTTTTTTTTTTTTTTTTTTTCAGGGGTGTGGATCCTTTATTGTGGGAGTGGGGAGATGGCTCCTTTATAAAAGGAATAGCAGCAGGCTGCACCCGAGCCCAGAGCAGCCTCTGGGCCCCAGTCTGGGGTGCCCAGCTTTGCTGGGGGCTCAGGCTCGAGCTGCCCTCTTAGGCAGCCGCACCCGGCCCTGGGCATGACCTCGGGCAGCCCATGGGGGACCAGCCTTGGCTTGACCTCTTCGCAACTGGCCCTTGGGCTTTGGAGGCCTCCGGTCACCTCCTCGCTCCAGCTTCCGGTCCTTTACTTGCTGGGATTTCTTATAAATTTCTCAGACAGAGGGGGCTCGTGAGTGGGGGAATGTCGGCAGCCCTGGGCTGGCTCTTGGTTCTGTGGTCAGAAGTCCAACCCAGCATGACGGGGCTCTCTACTCAGAGGGTCATGCACTGACATCAAGGTATTGACAGCACTCATCTGGAGGCTTTGGGGCAAGATTGGTTTCCAAACCCTTGCTGGCTGGTATAGCATTTGGTTCCCTGCCATGGGCTAAGGGCCCCATTCCCGTCCCACCTCCCAGCTCTACAACACACTCCACCACCATCTACAGCACTGCCTGCTTCTGCTTCACGTCCCTAGTGAAGAACCTCATGATTAGGTCAGGCCCACCTGGGTACTCTCCCTGTCGTGCAGTCAGTTGGTGGACACTTCGTTACATCTGAGGCCCTATGTCCTCAGCCCCATACTTGGCCCCTGCTGGTGAGGAGGGATTCACAGTCATCCTGCTCAACTGTAAATCCCACAAAATGACTTCTGAAGTCATCTACTCTGCCTTGTCTCCCACCGGTCGGCCCCTCCCCATATCTTGGTTTCTATTGTTGCCTCTGGCGGGCCCAGGCCCACAGCCAGCTCTTCCCATTTGTACACGTGGCTCTGCAATACAGCAGAACTGTCTAAAACATTCAGCTAATGATGCTTTCATGTGTTAGTCAAATATATCTATAGCATAAAAAATGTGGCTCTCAACTTTTAAATTGCTGTTAGGACAGCAGTTTGTCAACTGCTGGACTAGGCCACCTGTCAGCGCTCTATCTCCCTGCCACCTGAGCACAAAGCCGTGCCTGTGTCTGGTGCCCCTGCCTGCACCAGCCCTTTGCTGCCTGACCCAATCTCGGACTCACTGGGTGTCATCTGCCTGGTGTAGACCCCTCTGCTGTGTAGTTGCTGCCCTCCTCAGTGGCTCGCACAACTAAGCGTACCCTTCTCTGCACTCCACTTACCGTGCCCGCTGTCCAAAACCCCTCTGCTGGTGGCACTGTAGTTTAGGCTTTGGGCTGCTGAACCACAAGGTCAGTGGTTCAAACCCACAAGAGAGAAAGATGAGACTGCCTGATCCCTTAATGACAGCCTCCAAAACTCTTACAAAGTCGCTGAGATTGAGAATGGACTCCGTTGGGTTGGGGTTATCCTGCGCGCACATTGGTGGGAGGGCTCTTCAAATGCCACTGCCCCCTCACATGCAAGGTAGTGTCAGTCCTTGGGAGGATCCAGCAGCAGTTTTAGCACATTGGTCTTAAGTTGCATGGCCTGGCTACTTGTGGAAAGGAACACTGGGGTGCTTTTATTGGCCCAGGGAGCCTTGGTGGCATAGTGGGTTACGTGTTGGGCCATTATTCACAAGATCAGTTGTTTAAAGCCATCAGACACACCTTGAGAGAAAGACGCAGCTTTCTGCTCCGATGTACAGCATCAGAAGCCCATAAAGGACAGTTTCACTGCCAGAATTGACGTGCTGGCAATGAGTGGAGTTGACTTTTAGGAGTGCCAAAGCCAAAAAAAGCTGGAGACCCCCTGCCGCATGGTCCTCAACTGGTCTGTCTAGCGTGGAAATGAAATGGCCGTGGCCCACCGCTGGTCACCCATGGCACCTCTCTTTCCATCTGCAGCCTCCACCCGGCTCCTCCATCCTGCCCAGCTCCCCCTCTGGAACCTGTACTCACCCAGCTCTGGCCTTGCCCCTCTGGGGGCACTGTTGTTTTCCTTAGTTTGGGTGAGGAGGGGTGTGTCACAGTAGCATCTTCATCACCTGGGCGGCTCTGGCCTGGGCCTGTGTGCATGCTCACCCGCGTTCCTGTCGGACCGGTGGGTGGCTCCCCTCAGGTTAACTGCTCACGGGGCCTCCCTCCCACAGCACTGTAATGGCGTGGACTGGCGTCAGAAACTGGACTCGCAGCGGGGGGCGGTGATTGCCACAGAGCTGAAGAACAACAGCTACAAGCTGGCCCGCTGGACCTGCTGCGCTCTGCTGGCCGGCTCCGAATACCTCAAGCTCGGGTGAGGCCTCGGGCCAGCACTGGGTGCAGGTGGAGGTGGGCCATCCCCGTCCCTTCAGCAAAGCATTGGACCATGGGTCACCAGGACTGACGTTTGGCTTCAGGCCTGGCTGTCTCTGGGTGCCGCCCTACTCACCCCC